CACACTTAGTTAGCAGGTGTTTGCACTTCTGGGATCTCAATGCCTCCTCCATGCTCCTCTTCGCCAAATCTTCCCTTCACACAGTCTACTAGACTCACAGATACCTTGCGTGAGAGGCTGCTATGTCTACGTGGCAGTGGGGAAGGGTCGGGAGGAGACAGGAACGAGCTGAGTTCCCTGTCTGGTTGTACAACAAGGACCGCCTACGGTGGACAGCAAGTTGATCCATCAACAAGGAAATAAGAGCGTAGAGCCTCTTGGGGATGAGGAGAAACCCTGGGGCAGGTTTCAGACTTCCTAGGGATGTGGGATTCGACCTTGGGCCAAACTTACCTCACTCTGAAGAGGGCATGAGGACCAGGGGGGACGTGGGAGCTACACACGGGTTACATTTCGTAGAAGGGTGGGACACCCAGCCTGGCTGCCTCTTCTTCCCCTGCACAAACCTCCCGAATAGGACCAGCACCTGGTCTCGCTGATCCCTGAGCCCCTCGGGTACTGAGAAGGGGGGTGGGGGCAAGTCCTGGAGCCAGGGAAGGACAGGCATCAGGAGTGGCTTTTTCAGAAGTGGCAGAAGGAAGGCAGAAATGACACAGCCCCCAGTGTGTCCCTTTCTGTGCATTCTGAGTGGTCTGATATGCTCAGGGAATGCTCATCCTGCCATTTGCCGCTTGTCTGGCATAACATCTGAGAGGGTCAGACCCCAGGAATCTGACCTGTGACGTGTAGGAGTGATGACAAGTTAGAGTTTATGCAGAGATCCTCAAGTCCAAAGGAGTGAAAAAAAATGTTAGAATTCTTCAAACAATATAGCAAAGATAAGCTGAATATGTAAAACAGATAAGAGTGCAGAGGCTCTGGATGAAGTGGGTGCCCCGCTGGGAGCCCCCCCCACTCCCTAACCCTTCAGTAGAGTCAGGGCACCTCAAGAATCACCCATGGAACACGGTTTAAATACCACCATCTGATCACTCCTGCTTTGTAGGGGACACACTGCCAGTCAGTGAGATGAGACTGCCACGCCTGGCCTGGGTCCTGCAGCTGGTCAGTGGCAGAGCAGGATCAGAGAACTCAGAGCACCCGCCTCTAAGCCCAGGTCCACTTTCCACCACAGCCACAGCTGCTCTCAAAAGAAGCTGCTTTATTATTCCCGAGTCCTGGATAAAAGGAGGCTGAACCACCAGCAGGGGCTTTGCTTGAGGTGTGGTCCCCAGGAGGGGAGACTCGTTTTCAAACAGGACAGCAACAGCCGCCGAGGACAGTTCCCGGGGTGCTGGAAGAGTGGCTTGTTTGCACAATTAACTCACTCAACTTCAGCTGGTTGGTCCAGGTGACTCATCCTATGATCCCAGTGAAGCCTGCATTCCTGAGTGTTGTTTCATTGTATGGCTGTGATCCAGAGATTCTGGCCATGTCCTCAACCTCAGGACTCAGTGTAAGCTCGATGCCACCACCTCAGGAGGGGCAGGGGGTGATGGACAGAGGGATCTGGGGAGAACCCTCAGCTGCCACCCATCCACCACCCACCGGCAAATGCTGTCACTCTAAAAGAAGTTGGAGAACCAAGGTGATTATAAAAAGAGGCCTGCAGGCATCCGCCAGCAGTGATAAAGCAAGTAGCAACACTTATAAAGCAAGTAGCTACTTTCTACTTGCCGTGCTGGGGGCTCACATTACACAGCCAGCTGTGGGGAATGCTATGTGAGCCAGAAAGTGAGACCAAATCCCGGGGTCACCAGGTGAGGTGCCTGCAGGTGACATGCTAGGCTCTTCCCCTTGGCCCTCTAGGATAGCTGGATGTTGCAGTGTCACCTCTAGGAAATGGTGCTCAGGGCCAAAGATGAAACTCCCAGACCCAAATCCCTGGGGAAAGAAAGTCTCCCCGAATCTTTTTGGTAAGGTGGCCAGCAAACTACTCAGACCGTCTCTCCACACGGGCGCCGGTTGCAGCCTGAGACTTGGGAAATGCAGTCAGTCACTGTCTCCACGGCTCCCTGGCACTTAGTGGACACCGAATCTTATCTCCTTGATGCAGGGACCCACCGGTGTTCCATGAGAGTGAACTGCTGCTGGGCTGGGCTCAGGCCCCACTGGCCACCTTATGGGGGGTGGGACAAGGAGTGTAGAAGTCCCTGGCTGGGTGCCCCTCATCAGTGGCTCTGGCTTTGGGAGTTGTTCAGAAGGGACCTGGGAGAGGGACGAGAATGCTGGAGGAAGAATTAAACCCTGGGAAAGCGTTGGTCTGGCTGCCAGACCAGCCCCACCATGGGGCAGACACGGCTGAGGCTGACACTCTGCTCCTCGCCTCCTTGTCTCCAAGCTGCCCAGGTCTTTGCGCACAGCACCTGGGTCTCCACTGCTCACAGGCTCCAGGGAGGGTGGAGTCACCAACCTCACCCTCTAGACACCTCTCCCACATCCTCTCATCTCTGCCAAGTAATGTTTCTGATTTCTTTCCCCTTTTGTTGCCCCTGGAGAAAAAGCTGACCCTTTAAGCTCAAGGTCACCTTCCCGCCCCAGGACAGCAGGGTTAGAGGCGCACACTCTGAGACAGACCCCGAGTGGAAGAGGTTTTATAGAACCCCAGCGGCCACAGCCGGTTCCATCCTCCCATTCATCATTTATGCAGCTCAGGGCGTCTTTCCCGGCCCCTCCCCTAAGCACCCCGGCCAGGGCATCGATCCGCACTAATGGCAAGGCTCCGCAGTGGCGGGCCTGAGCTGCCCCCTCCCCAAGCCTTCTTGGGGCCGCCAATTAGCTGAGGTCCAGAGACTGCATTTCACAAATGGCGAACTGGGGCCCAGGGGGCCTTGCTGGAAAGTGAGAGGAGGCTAAGCTTAGCATCTATGCCCCCCTAACCCCCAGACCCTCTCTGGCTGGCTTTGTCACTGACCCAAGGCTAAATCGTGTGTGTGTGTGTGTGTGTGTGTGTGTATTCCCAGAACTGAGAACATGGACAGTGGCCGAGAGTGGGCCAGTGGGACGTTAGTACTTTCCTGAGCCCAGGGGAGGGTGAGTCTTTGAACAGCGGCGGCTCCAGAATTCTTGTAAAGGAAGGGAACAGAGGTGACCCTTTCCTGGGAAGCAGGCTGTGTATTGCAGAGCATGTACACTGTTCTTAGATTGGATGTTGTTTTGAGTGGCTGCGGGGGCTACTGAGGGAGATTCTTGGGGTGGGGGGTGCTAGCTCTCCAAGCTCCCCCCACCAGCTCCACACCCACTGTGCTGTCCCCTGGGAGCCTTTGCCCCCGACACCTCCCAGCCTGGAATCAACTGTCCGTGCAGGGGCCAGGTCCTCACAACTGTGGGTGAGGAGGGCTAGGGGACAAACTCTGGGGGTCACAAGCCTGTCACATTTACTAGGGATGCAGTCAGGTGAAGAAGCCTGGCAGAAGTCTTGGATGACAAGACCCAGAGGCGATACCCAGGACAGCAGCAAGACCCAACAGAGAAGGAGCGTCTGCCTGGAGCAGTTAAGGCATAAGTGGTGGCGGGGGAAGAAGGACATCCTGCTAACGGCACTCAAACTTACAAGCAGCCTTCCCACCCTACTTGAGGGCCCTGGTAGAGCCGAGGCTGCTCCTGAGGCTGCAGTTCAGACAGCACCACCCTGGAAGCGCCTCGAAAGATGCTCTCCATACTGCCGTAGGCCTCCATCTAGGGGGTCAGAGATAAGCCTACCTTTGGAGGAAATCGAGGAACCTATATCCCATTAAATCCCAGAAAGAAACCAGGCAGAACTAAGAAAAATATGTGTTATGTCAACAGCTATGTAAAATGTGACACACCCTCCACAGCTCCATTTGTCCTGGGGCCTTGTAGAAATATTAAATTATTCATCAGAACACAACATCGGAACCAACCAGTACCACATCCCTGTGATCTGTGGTCTGGGAACATTTGAGGCCCCCTGCTCAGGGGCAGACTTACAGGGAGGGATGGGAGGGATGGGCAGGGGCGCCCCTCCGGGGAGAGAATGGATCAGGCTCTGAGTTCTACAGGCCATTCCAGTAGCAAATCTCAGAACCGAGTCTGGCTTAAAGGTGAAAATTGTCCAGAAGGTGGCCCATAGCACCCGAAACCAGCAATGGGAGCTTCCTGCAAGTTTCTGGTTTGAGTTCCCCCTTCCTCCAATAGATTCCAAGCCCATTTAGAGGCCAGAAGTGGCTACTGACATCTGGGGAGTTGCCTTTGAGTTGGGGACCAGGAAGTTGGTGCTGAAAGAGGGGCTCAGGCTGCTGTGACCCTCCCCACCAGCCCTTCCAACGGATCACTCCTGGGTCCAGACCATTTGTCCCCCTCCCCAACTGCCCTCAGTCTCTGCCCGGTCCCCACCCAGCTTAGTCCCTTCATTCCTTTCCGGCTTCTCTGCCTGAAGCACTTCTTCCGGCACAGATTTTTCTAAAAGTATTTCAAGGGACAGTTGGAGGAGTTGCCAACATCACTCTGCCAAGGTTGGGCACAGACCTTTCCTGGCCCTCCCTCCCCTGGCCTGAGCCTTTCAGGAGGGGGGGGGGGCGGGAGGTAGGACACCCGAGCCCTACCTCTAAGCCCGCTCCTCGTGGCCTGGGGGAGGGGGGGCTCGCGTAGACGATGGAATTGGCAATAGGGGTCCCAGGAGAACGTCTTTGGCTGGAGATGGGGCTTCTCCCCCCGCGGCAGTCCGGCCCAACCTGCCCCAGCTGGTCTCCCACCACGGCCACGATCTCTTCAGCCCACACCCAACCTCCTCACCGGGACTTAGGTCCATTTCCCAGAGTATTCACCACCACCCCTAGGCCAGTGGTCCCGCCCCAGCTCAACCAGCCCTCTGGCAGAGATGCCCCCAGCCCAGGATGGGATCCACATCTTCCAGAGGACGTCAGCGGAGAGTGAAATGGGGCGAGGCCAAGGTCACAAAGGAAGGCAGAGGCAGCACGGTGACTGAAGGGGTGGTAGGGGGTCCTTAGGCCCTGGGCTCCTTCCCTGGGGTCCTCACCCGGCGCGGGAGGCGCACTCACCGCCGCGACCACTTGGCGGACGGCCTCCCGAAGGGCCGCTTCCACAGCACGCCGTAGAGCTGCACTTTGGTGCTGATGTCCAGCGCGTCCGAGTCAGCCTGCTCCAGGGACGGCGAGGGCGACACTGAGTTGGACTTGGACGTGAACATCCTGCCTCAGCGGAGCTGCCCCCGGCCCGGCCCACCCGCCCCCCGGGGCCGGCACGGACGCGGGGCTCCGGGGGAGGCTGCGGGAGGCGGCGGCGGCTCGGGGCGCCGTCGGGGCGCGTCCCAGCCGGCGGAGACGCGGGGAGGCCGGGGCCGGGAGCGCGGCGCCGAGGGGGCGCGGGGCGCGCAGCCTGCGTCTCAGGCCGGGATTGAGGCGGGCCCGGGGGGAACTCGGCGGGGAGGGCGGCTCAGCCTGCAGCCGGCAGCATCTCCCCCACTCCCCGCGACAGCCCCAATTCTGGTGGCCCCGATTGGCTGGGAGGGGCAGGTGAGCCAGCGGAGGCCGGCCGCGAACGCCAATCAGTGCAGGCGCCGGCTGGAGGGCCGGGCTCCGTGCGTCCGGAAGGCCCCGGCGGGTCGCCCTGCCCCGGGTTGCGGCCACAGCACTTCCCCACCCCCACCCTCGCGTCCATCTCTCCCCCGGGTTCCCTCCCGCCTGCCGCGCCTACAGCGAAACTGGGGACACGTCTGCTTGTGATGGGCTTGGAGTCTCTCCTGCAGATCCCTTTGGGTGGGGGAGAGCAAGGAGCAAATGTTTGGTGTCAGACAGCCGGGCTTCGAGTCCCACCTCAGTCCTGACATAGCTCCATGAGGCTGCGGTGAGCCTCTCACCTGTCAAGCGGAGATGTCTGCACCTCCTTGGGCGAGGCGGTGGCCCGGTGAGACTTCGGTAAGTCCCGGAGCGCCCGCCCCGAGAGGAGGCTGCGCCGGGGCCGGCGGCCGCTGCCCGCCCCTCCCCGCCCCCTCAGGTGGGTTTCACTTTGCGCCGCCGCTGCCTCGCCCGGATCGGATTTCTTTCCCCAGAACTTGGCCGTCTGCGTCGGCATTTGGCGCTCGGTGCCAACCCCGAACTGTCAGCGCAGTGCGCGGCTGTGATTTATCTCGTGCTCCCTGGGGCCGGGCGCTCCATCCGCTTCCGCTCCTCTCGAAGGCTCCAGGTGACCCGCTCACTTCAGGCGGGAGCAGACGTCTGTCCAGCCCCTGGGGACCGCCCGCCGAAAGGCTCTTAGCACGGCTGCCCACCGGCACCGCTCCAAAGGCGAGAAAGTGAGTTGGCTCAGAAAGAGGCAGCCGGCTGGACCGGCCGCAGTCACCCTTTCCCAGGCTGAGGAGCCGCCGGGCATCCCCGGGCGGTCAGGGTTCAGCTGCGCCCCCGGGAAAACCGCTCTAACACAGCGTCTCTGATTCCTCACATGTAAGATGAAGTCGAATGGAAACAGTAGTTTGCAAATGGGTAGCCTGAGAACCAGATCAGTTTATATACCTCATTAACTTGCCCAAGTGAAAACATGAGGCGTAATTAATATATGATAAAATGCACAGATGTTAAGTATGTATTTATTTGGTGTTTATTTGATGAGTGTATACACAAGCAAGATGCAGAACGTTTCCATTGCCCCAGAGAGTTCCCTCATGCTCCTGTCTGGTCAGCTCTCCATCCCCATCTCTCCCAGACAACCACTTTCTAACTCTTCTCAGCATTTGCATGCCTTTTTAAAATTTTAAATTTTAATGCCGAAATGGCATTCTCCACAGAGTCACCTCACTCACTTACTACCTGCCTGGCTCCTCTTTGTAGGATTTGATCCTCACTAGATGCTTCCCCAGGCCTTCCCAGGTCTAACATTTTAGGAATCTAGGGGCCTCCCAAGGGGCTTTCAAACCCTGGCACACTTCCACTAAACGACTCTGGGCTTCCCAAATCCAGGCACATCTCCTCGGTACTCACTGCCCAAAGGGACCCATCTGAATTCCCTCGTGCTCCCCATGACTCACGTGCCCCTGCAGAACCTCTCAGGCCCAGCCTTCACACAGGGCCCAGGGTCCACCAGGTGGGAGGAGACAGGACTCGGAGGATGCACTCATGGGTAGAGTGCAAAGTGGACATTTCACTCATTGTTTGGTTATTTTTGGCATATGTTCTAATGCTTGGAAAATTTCCCACTTTAGGAGTCCTGTTTTTCCCAGATGGAAGCTAGAAAACTGGTGTTAGAAGCCTGTGATGTGGAGTTCACTGGTCAGGGGTACCAGGAAAGAGTTGCAGGTGACAACATGTAAGGAAAACGAGTGCACAGGCATCAGTTTCTCAAGGGAAGGTGGTGGTACCAAAGGCATCTGACGCGTTTTGGGGGGCAGCTGTGGCTGCGAGCTTGCGTTCCCAATGCTGCAAGCAGGGCTTGCATGGCTGCAGTGGCAGGAACAGGCAGATGGCTCCTGGCAGCACACAAATGGCAGCATTGAGTGCTCTGTGGCAGCAGCGCCCTCTCCAGGTCGCTTCTGCAGCCTGGTTTTGGATTGCATTCCTGGAAGCTTCATCTCGGGTCAGGCCTGGCTCTTTGGCCCTGCCAATATCCTTTTAATAAATTAATTCCTCTTTTGCTTAATCAGGTCAGTACCAGCTTTGGCTGCTTGTGATGAAGAACTAGTGATGAGCTAGCGAGCCAGAGGTGGGAGAAAGGCAGGGCACCTACAATAGTTTTTAAGGATGGCCTCGCCAAGGAGAAGGGCTGTGTGAGCCCAGATGGTTCCTGGGAAAAGTTCGGTGTCTTCACTGGAAGAAATACAGCTCACATTTTGTCAGTGGTAAGGAGTAACCAATCTTTGCCCATTCCCCCTGCATGCAGGACATCTGAACAGGCCTTAGCTAATGATGGCTAAGGCTGGGTGGAAAGACTGCCTTCAGACAACCAGCGTGAGTTTGATGGCTTTCTGGAGACCTAACTGGCTTCTGCTTCCCTCCACTAACCAGTCCAGATCATGCCAAGTCAGCCTTGGAGAAGCCGTTTCTGCTTCCATTGTGTTCTCTGCCTCAGCTGTTGGGAGTGCTGAATGCCTGGTAGACAGTTCTGCAGAAGACAAAAAAAGCTGGCTGCCGATCCAGTGCCCTAGACCGAGTGTGGGCCAGGGCCGCCCAGTCTTATCAGGAGTGAAGGGAGACCAGTCGGGGTGGAAACTCAAGGTCCTGAGGGCCCTACATGCTCAGACACAGAGCTGATATTCCAAATATCTAGTTTACATCTTATCTATTTCATTTCATGTTTGAGACAGCCCCAACGAGGTACATATTATTTTTAGTTTTCCAGATGAGGAAAATGAAGTTCAAAAAAGTTGTCTCCTTAAGATCACTCAGCCGGTCATTTCCTGGAACAGGATAGGCCCTCAAGTATGTGTTGAATGAGGGAAAGTGGCAGGATCGAGATACTTGATTTGATCTGATCCCTGAGCTCATACCCAGCACACTGCCAGGTGACGTGCAGTCTGGGAAAATGCAGATCTTTCTTTCAGTCTTTCCCTTTTTTTTTCTAGTAATTTCTCTCAATTGCCAACTCACCCAAGGCTCAAAGTCCCTACAGAACTGAAGATGCAATTCTACTTGCAATATAAAATTCCAGCCTCTCAGCTGTGTTCAGGAATACACTTCTAATAATGAGCATACATTTTCTTTTTCTTACAGTTTTTTTGAGGAAGATTAGCCCTGAGCTAACATCTGCTGCCAATCCTCCTCTTTTTGCTGAGGAAGACTGACCCTGAGCTAACATCCGTGCCCATCTTCCTCTACCTTATATATGGGATGCCTACCACAGCATGGCTTGACAAGTGGTGCCTAGGTCCACACCTGGGATCTGAACTGGCGAACCCAGGGCCGCTGAAGCAGAACATGCAAACAAACACTCCTCCACCAGGCCGGCCACCTTCTTCTTACAGTTTTTTTTTTCTCCAGCTTTATCGAGGTATGATTGACAAGTAAAAATTATATATATGTATTTAGGCTGTACAACATGTTTTTTTTAAGGTTACAGTGTGATGATTTAATATATGTACATTGGGAAATGCTTACCATAATCAAGCTGGTTACCACATCCATCACCTCACATAGTTTTTTTTGTCTGTTGTGAGAATACTTAAGATCTGCTCTCTTAGCAAATTTCAAGTGTACAATACAGTATTGTTAACTGTACATTAGATCCCCAGAAGTTATTCATCTTACAACTGAAAGTTTGTCCCCTTTGACCAGCATGTCCCCAATTCCCCCACCTCCCTGCCCCTGGGAACCACCATTCTACTTTCTGGTTCTATGAATTTGACTGTTTAGATTCCGCATTTATAAGTGAGATCATACAGTGTTTGTCTTTCTGTGTCTGGCTTATTTCACTTAGCACAATGTCCTCCAGGTTCATCCATGTTGTTGCGAATGGCAGAATTTCCTTCTTTTTTATGGTTAAATAATATTGCATTGTGTGTGTGTATATATATACAGCACATTTTCTTTATCCATTCATCCATCAATGGACACTTAGGTTGTTTCCATGTGTTAGCTATTGTAAATAATGCTGCAATGATCATAGGAGTGCATACATCTCTTCAAGATATTGGTTTCATTTCCTTTGGATAAATACCCAGAAGTGGAGTTGCTGAATCATATGGCAGTTCTACTTTTAATTTTTTGAGGAACCTCCATGCTGTTTTCCATAGTAGCTGCACCAATTTACATTCCCAACAGTGCACAAGGGCTCCCTTTGCTCCACATCCTTGTCAGCACTTATCTCTTGTCTTTGTCCTGATAGCCGTCCTAACAGGTGTGAAGTGATATTTCACTGTGGTTTTGATTTGCATTTCCCTGGTTAATGATGCCGAGCACCTTTTCATGTACCTGTTGGCCATTTGTATGTCGTCTTTGGAAATATGTCTGTTCAGGTCATTTGCCCATTTTCTAATCAGGTTACTTGTGTTTTTATTATTGAGTTGTATGAGTTCCTTATATATTTTGGATATTAACCCCTTATCAGATAAATGGTTTGCAAATATTTTCTCCCATTTTGTAGGACTTTTCATTTTGTTGATTGTTTCCTTTACTGTACAAAAGAACATACATTTCCATAATATTGCTTTTATCCATAGTCCACAGGCTCATGTGGTCACCATGGTCCCATGAAACAAGTATCAGCATGGCCATCTTATGACTAGCCTATGG